CCGAGCTCGATATCAATGCTAAATGTTTACGAAGTCATGATAAGTGTTTCATTCCGCATGCTACTGCGCGCATTACGCGACAATTCAGCAAAATTGGACAACCTTTGAAATTCATGTGACACATCTTCCAAACATCTTACTGTTAGTTTCTCAGCCACGTGACCTAATATTCTGCAAGTTGTCCAGTTTCACTAAAGCCCACCATGTGATGCGCGCGGTTGCGTGCGGAGCTAAACTGGTTATATAATGAAATATCGTAAACGAATGAACCATGATGTTCCTCTTCATATCGGGCAGTGGAATGAGGTGGAGTGCAAACGGGGGCGTGGCGGAGGGGAGGGAAGGGAGATCGGCTACTTATAGCATTGCTCTTCGTTTACCACAGTATGTGCTAGATAGGACAGTGAAGGCTAATCAAATCTTGTGATCAGATCCGTTAAATGATGCAAAACCTCATAGTCGATGAAATTTTAAGCCTCTATTTCGTCCACCTACAGCATTGGATATTATTATTATCGAATATGTGATGACGGTAACGAGGGCAGTAGAATAAGCACTCCTGACTGCTTTTCAAAAATCCTCGTGAACCTACCTGTATGTTTGTTGCGTCACTACTTGCTACGTCTGGTTCCGTCATAGCAAAACAGCTTTTGATTTCACCCTTCAGTAGAGGTTCAAGCCATTTTTTCTTCTGGGCTTCGGTACCATATTTGATGAGCACTTCCATATTTCCAGTATCTGGCGCTTGACAATTGAAGATCTGGAATTATCCAATGATAACTTTTTGTGAGCTAGCTCCCGTTACGGTCTTCAAAGGGGCTAATCGAGGAAAAGGGAAACACTCCTTCAAAAGAAATATTACGCGATTGAATAGGTGTTGGTTACTGTGCTCAAAGATGAATATGTTGTGGGAATTGGACCTACCGGTAATAAAATAATAGTGACTGCTAGGAACTCACTGCGCGGCGATCATGCGAGGGCGGCTAGCGCCCTGCATAACTGGTTAGCCCTTTGCTCTTGATGCATAAATGCGGTAAAGTACAGTAATAATACAATAGATGGAACCAGCCAATGAGACTTCCGTAGTGGTGGGGCGCAGTCTGCACCCATACGTTAATTTACTCAATGTATATGGGAGGGGGGAGAGATCACCGGCGGCGCGGACGCGAGCGCGTGTAGATGACGTCACAGCTGCGGCAACAGCACGAAAAGGCAAGACTAAAAGCGTCGCTGCCACTTCGCTTGAATAGTAGAAGGGTAGCTGGCACCTCACCAACTAGTGCAATCAGTAGTGCCGTGAGCGAAGTGATTGTATTGTGTATAGGTACTATTTTCGCCCTCGAAAATTAGGAATCTGTTTGCGAATAAGGAGGAAATCAACGGTTTCGTGTGCAAACCCTAACGATGCGCAACTAATTCGAAATTGATTTCAATAAGTCCATTCTTCGTTATTACTTCTGCTACTGCATAGTGAAGTCAGAGTCGATAGTGTCCTATACGCAATGTTATAAAATTGGCACCACCTTGCTCAATCCCTCGCCGCCGCTGTGACGTCAAAGTGACGTCACCGCACGCGCTCGCGTCCGCGCCGCCGGTGAGCTATTCCATGGAGCCATATGTCTGCAGGATATGATAGTGCAAGGAACCCTAATTAGCGCGCATTCCGATTTCTTGATTCCTCGAAAAGATTTTTTGCTAAGCACAACCGCGACGCCTCCGAACGTACCCAGATGTTCACGCTGGCGTTTAAGTTTTTGTTACATGTAATATGTAGTAGCGCATGGCAACCTTCGTTACTGAGAGGGAGAGGGGCAGGATCGTACCACAAAGTTTTCTTCAACGCTTTGCTTGAGTCTGATCGATAGCCAAAATTGATAGAGTGGTAAATGGCGTGGCATATTATACGCGTGATGGTGGTGAAATACAAGCTCGAATCCCATATGAAGGATTTCTATCCCTCCTGGGTCGGTTATGTGCTGCCACACAGCCTGGGAGGTAAAGACAACGACTTTCGCGGCTGGCCTTGCATGAGTTCATTGAGTGTAGCAAATCGCATTCGAGAGTCACCTCTGAACATAAATGGAAGTAGAATGCTTGCTCCATAGTGTTTTTAAGTGTCACATCGCAATTTGAAATACAACTATCCTACCTCGGGCGCATATGGGCTCCGGCCCATCAGTTCACAGATGTGAGCGTATTCCACGTTGGTCAGGCCAGCTCCATAGACTCCGTCCGGATCAATGTGATCGGAGATGAAGAGATTCCATGCACCCATTGACTTCGCCTTCTCCTTAAATGATGTCGATGGATATCAGTCAGTAGAATTCTTTGGCTTGCATTCGTTCCACTCACAAACTCTATCTCATCTCATATCATTCACTCAAGAGGTGCCTTGAGGCAAAAAAAGTTGTCTAACTTTGATTTTCTCGAGTTTCGGATACGGTGTCCATCGTTCTGGTCCTTGATAGTACTGTAATGCTTCGGCCTCCAACGGTATGATTTCATCGTGAACAATTTTCTTAACGATTTCATACAACTTCTGTGCCTTCGCAGACAGCGACTGTGGAACAACAGCAAGAAGCCCTGAAATAAAAGTGATGCATGGGAGTGAGGGATACTAAGTGGTAATCAAACGTAGAAATAACTGGGAACAAATAAGAGGAAAGCACCATGAATATTTCGCTTTTCTGACTAAAAAAGGGATATCCATAGGGTTAGTCTGCTATCGTAGCACAAGGTTGCGCGGTGAGAGGACATTGCTAAAAGATACCATTTTAAAGCGAGAGATTACGATAAAGTGCGTATGCAGCGTGGAAGTACATGCACCATTGGAAGCAGTAGTCAGGGGCCCAAGGAAACGAAATGTTGCGTTTTTGTGGTCAAAGGTGCGCTAGTTGCAGCGTACAAGGCTTGCCATTCCTTTCTGAGCCCCGCCACGGTCTGTGCTCCGCCCCCAGCAGCAGCGCCCTTCGATTGCCAATGTGACGAGATATTCCACTTCCAGAGTGTATCCTATAACTTTTCATGGGATGCGTGATCAATCAAAGCATGATGCTTGCTGAAATGATAGAGGCTATCAGCATAACATGTGCAAACGACCTCCTAATTGGTTGCTAGCTCGTCCATTATCGGAGGTCAACGGGCAAAGAAAGGGGTCCCATTTTGCGCCTTCTTGACGGATTTCTTTGCTTTTTTCGCCACTGGGGCATTATTCAGCATCTCCACTTCCACTATGAACCCAGTCCAAACTTATCGTAATCCCTCGCTTTAACTCATCTTATGCTTCGATCGAAGGTACATAACGGTTTCTTTCTAGATACTCGCCCCTTTGCAAAAATTTTCCCGCGTGCACACTTCTAAACAATGTCGACTGGGGCGGGCTTTCCCTCAGCTACAATACTGTGGTTATGATCCCTACAGCAATTTTGAAAAATGCGACTGGTGCAGTACAGCGTGATCGCAATGAAGGGTAAGTACCCTCTGATCGATTATTGTACTGTCAATCTTCGTTTTTATTAACCAGATTAGTCCCCCGTCAACCGCCGGGACCTTCCTTTCCTGCGCAAGCTTTCTATCCTCCGCTATGGTCCCTTCCTCCTGTGACACCAACACCTCGTGGAAGTGACGCGTATGCAACACAATGGTGTTTCATACAGTAGAAGGGACACAATCATGATATGACGGTAGATTTTTCGCTTCCCTTCCTCATCCTCCCTTCCTCTCTCCACTGCCCTCCAGCTGCCACTGCAGCACCATGTGGAATGAACGGAAGTGTGCTAAGCAGGTGTTTATATAGCCCTAAGAGTGTTATCACAACTATCCTGCTACTCTGAATACTAATGCATCTCATAACGAAGAATTTGCACTGTAATGCTTATGACAATGAAACGCAAGAGGTATTGAATCCGATGAGCGTTCTTTCATTACATCGCGCTAATTTCTTCCATTTTATAGGGTGCCTTCAAAGAATTAAGTGATTAAGGTTGTGTTCAACATCCACATTCTCGTATAAGTACAACGCTTCGATGTTTTAAAATTTTATTTTACATCATTACGCGTTTAGCTTAGCTTGGCGTTAGAGAAAGATCTTGGACCTTACACGTTACATTTCAAAAGTCATGTTTTGGGCACGATGTGCCTCGAAGGAGGGTAAGGGGTGCAGCCTGTAAGAAGGCCCTTCAACTTGTAAGACTCAGCTACGGAGAGAGAGAGCAATTTAGGAGAGAATGGAATTTGCTTACCCACTTCAGAGCCCCCTTCTGACTCATGACTTAGCCCTAAAATTGAGCACTTCCGTAACCCCGGTGAAAAAAGGGAAAGAATCCGTCGAAAACGCTTAGGTTAAGGGCTCACTCACCTTCCTAATCGGCTGTGCTAAGGGAATGAGAGACTAAGCGCGGAGAGGAGAGTGAGGCGAGAGAGCGCTACAGATGAGAGAGACAACAGCCTGATAAGAGAAAAAATCTGCAGCTTCAGCAGCTTACTTTGCAAGGCCCAAGCGCTCTTGTCGGTTGGTTTCCGTGCACGGGAACGCCACATTTGTGATTGTCCTCTAGGGGTCTATACTACAGACCGAAGAGAAGCGTTCACACGACCTCTGCCTGGGTTGTGCCTTTAATTGGAATCACGTAAAAACACAATGGAAGCTAGCCAGTGGATAACCACATATGCTGCTATCAATTTTTCGCTGAAAAGTGTATCAACCAATTCCGATAATCAGTCTACTTGGACAGGGGTTGTACAAAATACCTATGTCCACTTGCTACAACTTGCTCACCGGTCTCCTTGACTCCGTGCTGCATCCTTTTTATAATCGCCAAACCTCCACTCGCCAGTAGCCTTGGCACTACCGCCAATCTGTGCGCATCTGTAGACGCAGCGTTCTTTTGAAGAGATCGCTTGTATACACCTGAAAATGAAATGTTAACCCTAGACTTGACTATTACGATTGAAAAAAGAACTATCCGACTTCGATTTTGCTTGGAAGTTACTAGTTTGGCTACCTTGAATAATGCTGGCGAAACGGAAGACGACGAATGCGATATAGAAGACCCATTTATTCGGATCAATTGGCTCTACTTGTCGGGTATGAGCGTACAGCTCAAGAACCTCCGAGATCGTTGGTATTCCAAGTCGATGAAGGTCTTCTTCAGAATGATGACCCATTCCAGGTAGCACCTGCAAAGTCGACTTAGTTCATCATCAAACAAAGAAAGCCAAAACTTCTGGTTGGCCGAAAGATCAACCTTATTTTTGATGGTACTGTAATGTGGAAAGAGGAAAGTGGCCAGATCCGCGTAAGAGTCTCCAATCGTGGACGTTTCCCAGTCCAAAACAGCAATCACACGATTTTCAGTTGGATGAAATACCAGGTTATCCAAACTGAGAAAGAAGCCTTCAACAAAATGAGACAAAATGACAAATGCTCAAAAACTAGCTTTATTTGATCTTCTTCATTAGCGCCAGCATTTGACATCTGTTTGAAACGCTGAGGTATTCGAATACTTACTTAACGTGCATAACGTCTTGCGGCTCCAACGGATAACCGGAAGAATCCATTGCGTTCCCAGATTAACAAACTCCGATATTTGTGTGTACCCGATGGGGAGCCCATCCAGCGGCAAGAAGGCAGAGACGCAGACGAGTTAGCAGTCGCAGCGCGTACTGTGCTGATGTGGGACGTGCTGTAGTACATTCTATTTAACTTGACGCTAAATCGCTACAGTACGCGCTGCGACTCGTCCGCTGACCCGCTCTACGTCCCTGCCTTCTCGCCGCGCGACGGGTCTCCTGTCGGGTACACGAAACCGTAATGAATGGAAACTTGATTCGCATGAGGGCGCTTATTCATTGGAATGGCAAGCGTCAGTATGGTAAGATTGAATAAGCCTTAGTCGTTGCCCTCGAAAATGACAATATATTAGGTTGGAAAGAAAGTCCTGCAACACTTTTTCAAATTTTTGATTTTAATTTTATCTTTTTTGGTTACAACTCCTGACCGGTCTTATATCTACCATGAGTGTCCACCACTTGTCTTCAACGCTCAGAAAATTTCTTGATGCTCCTTTGCCAAAACCCAGCGGAGTGCGGGTCGAGGAAGGAGGCGACTTCGCTTTCAAGTTGGAGTTATTCGTCTAATTACTTCGC